GGCCCTCTCAGCCTCTTCTCTCTTCTTGGCCTCAGCAGCCTTGCGTTCTTCCTCCGCTTCTTTTCTCTTGGCATCAGCCTCTGCACGGGCCTTCTCGGCCTCTTCTTTCTTCTTGGCCTCTGCAGCCTTGCGCTCCTCCTCTGCTGCCTTTCTTTTTTCTTCATCTTCCTTGCGTTTTTCTTCAGCCTCCTTTCTCTTAGCTTCAGCCTCGGCCTTTCGCTTTTCCTCGGCTTCCTTTCGCTTGGCCTCAGAGAAGGATTTGATATGATATGACAAATGACTGGAAGAGGATCAATATACAGTGCAGTATGCAGAATGTGTTTGTTTACCCATGAGGTGCAATTTATTTGTTTACGTAAGCGTTTCCGCTTTTGTGTTTTGCTTATTGCACACTTTATACATGTTGTGCTTTGTTTTGAAATTTGGGGCACGACGAGTGTCGAGGTTGTTTGTTAGTCCATGATAGTCCCAGCTTTATCTGTCACCAGCGAGGCTAAGCACATTGGATCTTGCTGCAAAACATTGACATCGTTTGGATTTGGGGTAGTATGGATCGCTTGGAAAACATATCAAACGCATAAGTAGACCGGTTTCGAAGTAAAATGCTGACGGTCGAGACCATCTTGAGCTGCGCCTCTGCCTCTGCCCGAACCTTCTCAGCCTCCTCACGTCGTCTCTCGGCCTCCTCCTTCCAACTCCCCCATTCAAGGTTGTTCGGTTGGAGGCCATTGCTATCAGGTTGGAGGCCATCGCACTTCGTTCCAAAACAAAAAAAATTTCCCCAGCAAGGCAGGTCTCAGTCCTTCCGACGCTGTTCCTCTTCTTTCCTCTTTGCAATGGCTTCCTGGCGGATCCTTTCCTGCTCCGCCTTCCTCTCTTCTTTTGTCTGTGCCGGTGTGACGCGATAAACCCCAACCAGTTTGCAGCTGCATGCACCTAGGCTACTTGCTCTATTCAAGTTCCAACTATTTACCATGATTTCCCATGATGGCCAAAACATGTATGGGGTTCTCAGCTATCTGGGATTTGGGGAGGCAAGTGGGCAGCAAGCCTGGACAACTTGGGCTTCCTCCGCCTGGTCAGGAAGGTCACGACAACAGAGGAAACAATAATGACGAACTGTTGGAGCCCTGGAATCCTCGGAACTCTGTGGTATCAGCTGTTGACTCAAAGAAAAACCATCAACTCCGACCGATACCTGAGGTATGGGGTCGCAGCAAGCATGATAAACATCAAGTTCACCAACCACTCAGCTGCAAATAGTCCAAACCTGGACCGGCTTCAGCGCTGGTGCAACCTCACAGGTCAGAGGTCAGAGCGGGAAGAACCCCAGAGAGTTCCAAAGATTCACACCAACAACCTTTAATATACACTGGAACTGGAACAGACTGGGAGCCTTCCAAGTTTCCAGAACGCAATGCCGGGGCCCGTGCTGGGCTCAGGAGCGCAACCAACACGAAGGCAGTGCCGCCAAGCACCTGCGGGGGCGTCCTCTACCAGAGGCAAAACCGATTTTCACAGCGCCATAGCATCTGCAGCATCCAACATTGACTGGTCCAGAAGCGCATGCTTTGTTGTTGGCGACCCAAACATTCAAACTACAGTACCATAGTCCCACACAGTCAATTTTTTTGTCGTCTACCGCCTGTCATCAAACAGGCGACGCTCAGCAGATCTCAGCAGTTCTGCTTCAGGCCCTGTTTTTTGTCACGTTGGTTCTGCTCCTCTCAGCTGCGACGGCAAAGCGTTAGAGCAAGGCAAGCCAAAAACGCGAAAAAAACCTGTTTGAGTCACGGCGTGAAGGAATGTTTAGTTTGTGGATGGCAGGAATGCAGTCTATGTTGATTTGAGCGAGTATGTTGATTGAGGACGGGGGACTTTGAGATGATGATGAACGAAGGTCGAAGAAAGGTGGCAAGGTTACCAACAAGTAGAAATCAACACAGCGCAGTGCTTGTGTGATGTTGGGGTTCACAGTAACGCCTTTGCAGTCGTTTGACTCCCTGACAATGCGACTTCTTCCCACTTTGCCTTCGGTTTGGCGACTCGAAGCGGACAAGGTGGTTCTGCGCTGAAAGGCTGCATGCTCCTTACAGTGCTTGATTGCAAGGCCAAAATGGATGAATCATTAAAAAAGCAAACTTCACAAGGCTGTGCCGCTGTGCACGTTTTGCCGCACCAGGATCCACACACTTGGGCGGACCATCGTCTGAAAGTTGAACCCTCCAGCGAAGGAAGCTGGCGAACTTGCACCTGAAGCAAACTGTGGGAGTGTGATGTTTTTGCGAACTTGACATGAGCGCAAAGCACAAGGACCCGCCTCGCGCCGCATTTCCATTTGAAGCTACTACATTGCGCCTTCCTTGTCGGGCTCATGCCGGCAACGACAGCAGCCAGGATCATCCATACGACCTTTGCAGCACGCGTACCTCCTCACAAAGCTCCTGCGACGCGAAACTCGCACCTGGCTCTCAAACAGCTTCGATTCATCTTGATTTTAAGAACAAAAAATTGAGGTTCAATGGGAGCTTCACTCCTGAACACTTGTCGGCCACAATTCCTTGGATGTCTGTGGCATCGGCGTCCCTAAACCTTTGTTTATCCTTTTCCGTGTATTTCAGTGTAAATGCCAGTTCTGGTGTTCACTCTCGCCACACTCTGATGCTCGTGATGTTTCGTTCATTTTCATTTACATGTCACGCTCGTGTGTGTTTGTTTAGTTCGAACTTGCGTACACGCTAATTTGATTCCCTGTTTCCTACTTCTTGTCGCTTTCTGATGATGCGACTACAACCCACCAGCCTTCAGCCAAAGCCACTCTGCGCCACAATTCTTGCAGGTCCCCTTGTCGGAACGCTCGGAACGCTCAGGCCATGGGCAGCTAAATTTTCTCCTTTGTGGAGACCTCCAAGTCCTCCAGACGCAGCAAGAACTACGTGACGCATCACTTCGCAGCTTTTGGAGACCTCCATCCATGGGAAGCGATGATGACGGCAGGCAGTATCGGTGTTACCTCGATTTGCAAGTGGTACCAACTGGCCACTGGCATTCCATAACGAGCTGCAAAACAAGTTCAGAGTGAAGACAAGCAACAAGAACTGTCAAAGCGCACTTTGCAACGCGCGCAGGCATCTGGCCAATCCAAGAGCAAGTAATCGAACTCTGCCTAGAAAGCATGAAAGCATGCTTTGACCAAACGAGCAACAGTATCTGGCAGGATAGCGGCGCACATAGTTATACAAGCGCACATAATTATACAAAGGCGCCAACACAGGTCATACTGCATCTAAATTCCACTTGAGCCTTTTCAAACCCAAGTGGAACTTAGCGGCTCATAGTGATGAGTGCCTCCCTCTTCTTACAGTTTATTGTCTGACAAGCAAAGACCCTTGCCTAGCTACGTAACAAGCTTAAAGCTTTGCCTGAAGAGCCCCAGGGAAGTCTTTGCTAATCTCACCTCGGAGCAACGGCGAAACAGAGCCGACAAGCACGGAGAACCATTGAGATGTATGTTTGAGGCAGGCGGTCAGCCAAGCGCAACATGAAATTTAAAATTCGGCCTATCTTTCACCGTTTCAAAACATTTAAACGCCCACTGATGTGTACCACCGCCACCCACTTTCTGGAGGCAAGTAGCCGGTGCGCGCAAAACGCAGAACCCACTCAAAAAGATCAAGATCTCTGTCCAAGAATACCCGGCCCTCCTGGAGAAACGAACCCAGATACAATCAAAATATATCGACAATTATCGACATATGAGCCTGTCAATTAATTGTCAACAAATGAAGGCCCGCACGGGCCATCCTGGCCCACATATCAAAACGGGAATCCTCATCACGGTCAACTGGGATGGGTCCATCGAACCTGCAGAGTTTCTCTATGTAAGCAAAAGCAAAGCATATCAAGACTCTTGCAATTTATGCTGATAATGTGGAGACTGGAGGCCCCAAAAAAGCAACAGGCAGCTGAGAGACACCCGCACAAGTAGCTTGCCGCAGTGCCGCAGCAAGTCCTCTGAGGCTTGGAAGACACGCCCTCCAACATTGACGAGCGGCATGGCAAGATAGTAAAAGAGCATGTGGCGCCAAAATGACACGACGACATGACAATCAATTGGTCGGTCTGATTGATCTTTGAGCCATGGGATTGTTGGCCACAAAGGACCGTTCGAATGTCCAAATCCCTTCTGGTGCGTGTTCCAGGTGAACAAGGGCGGCACTTGAGGTCGCCGTCCCTGGAACCACCCAGGGTTACCCAGGAACAATCCTTAAGGCCTCATGGCTGACTCATGGCCCTGAAAGAGATAAAGAAGGTGTGAGGCAGTGTGAGGATCCTGGTGTGAATCGGTGTGAAGAAGAATGCATATTCTACACTGTTTTAGTTTGACTTCACCTTCGCACAAACTCTTTTTTTCTGGGTTCGCATGGCTCACGCGATTGGTTCCAGCTAGCTCGTGTTCAGCATCGGGTTCACAATCATCACCTGCACTCATCACCAGGAGATCAAAATCTAACCATCACCGTGTTCAGGCTTTGCCACGCTTTGCATTGAAACCACTCTTACAAGGCTGCTGCGAGTCAGCAGCAAGGTGTTCTTTTCATCTTTCCTTTGCTGTTCCGGGTCTGTGCGCTATATATTCCAGTTCTGCTTTGGCGTGGCTTGAGCTTCAACAAGAAAGATAGAACAAGCTAGAAAATAGAAAAAATCAAACTGCATGTTCAAAACTTGAATCAAACAATAGTGAACATTACACGCTCAAATGCCAAAGCCATCCTAGTGAAGGGAATGTTGTATCGTTGCGCAACGTGCGACATAGCCCATGCATCTTTCCTTGCCTTTCAGTCTGGTATTGTCTTCTAGAAGTACTACGATTCACCATGACCATGATACGACACCGAGTTTAATGTGAAATTTATTACTAAAGACTGAAGCCCTCGCAAGACTGCGTGTCTCGGTCTGGCTGAAGTCCCAGGCGTAAAGAAAGACACAGTTGACCGTTGTTTCAATGCAAAATGCACTGTGCCACAAATGGAATGACACTCCAGGCCATCATGAGACTAAGGCTCATTAAAGCTGCACTACTAGGAGCGGGCTTACCCAAGAAAGGCTAGCGTTCCCATATCATCTATGAATTGGTTTTGTATACACTCTGGTCACACCAAATCCAATGAGAAACGCAAACAACAACAACAACAGCAACACCACATATGACACATTTGTTCCGTATAGTTGTTGTTCAAAGCTTTTGCTAACCCCATATCAGCCCTTCAACAATGAGAGCTGGGCATGTGAAGGCCTTGTAGTGGGAAAATGAACGCTACTCCTTTCGGAAGCGGGAATCATAGACTGAAAGATTCTACCGCTTCGATTATACCCGCGAGTGGATCTCTCACTGTCTCACTTTGCTGCTCCTAAGAAACCACTTGCTTTGCATTCTTGTTGACCTTTGGCCGCTTGTTGCCAGCTGCATCTCGCCCTTTGGCTGTAGCTGAAAGTGAACCGCCACCGGAAGAAGAAGATGAGCGAGCGCGCCATGCCAAGGCCACCAATGGCAAAGACATCTTTTGCGGTGGGAAGCTGATGATGTGGTGATGGCTGAGATTCATGCTGTCGCTTTGTTCCTTTCTTTGGCTTGACTTCCTTGAATGGCCTGAAGGTGGGCTAGCGGCTACAGGCTAGCTGAGCTGACATTGCTACGTGTTCTTCTATAGTGAGAAGCAAATTCACCGCCACACTCACTATAGCACAGCAAAGTAAGTATTGTGTGTTCAATGTCGCTCAATTGCTCAATGTTAACCACTGAGACTCCGACAAATGTTCCCGCACCAGCAAGGCAAAAAGTTTGGTTCCAAACTTCTTCAAAATGACAGGCGTATCCTCATGGTCGTTGAATTTGAGGTACATCTTGGCAAAGGTCAAAACGTGCCCATCAAACTCAACAGTTGTTTCCTCTGCTTGTTCATCCACCCCCAGCACCAATGTAGGAAAGTCAATGTCCGTAGGAGGGAACATCCAAGCCGGGCACGCAAGCTCCGAATCAAATCAGTCACAGTTATCTCCAAGGTCGTGTTTTGTTTCATTCCAACTCCCAATTGTGAGTGCGCCTGAGTGCGCTAAGAAAGAAAACAAATGTTGAATTTATGTCCATGGCAAGCAGCATCAATACGCGTAACAGTGTAACATCCAGTGGATGACTCAGAAGACCCAGGATTTCTGAGGCTGACACCTACTGATGATCGATCAGCTTGACACACTTTCATCTGGAGCAAGTAAATGGTCTTTGGGCGCTGCGAAAAAAGTGTCGGTTGAGCATTTTGGCGGTCGAGCACCCCTTTTCTCTTGACATACTTGACAAAAAAACAATCTAGGGGTCTAAGTCTAAGAGTCTAAGTCAAAGTCAAGGCTAATCAGTTCAAGTTAAAGTCAATTCAAGCCGGTAGCAAGCCGGTAACAAAACAAAACAACATCTCCAGCTCTCCAAACCAATCAAATGCCAAAGTACACACCTCACCCCAGAAAAATGCTTTGAAGCTCTTTCGCGTTGCAGGGCTCAGAACGTTGCTCAAAAGATGCTTCACTGGTTCGTCCGGCTCCATGTTGTCAAGAATGCTTTGCACCTCAGAGCAGAACCCTGTGTCCAGCTCCAAATAAACTTCAGTAGTGGCGGCAGTCTTGTCTCCCTCTCAGCGCGGCGCACGTTGAAGAAGACTTTGTTTGACACACCACTGTCACGTTCTACTTTCCTGCCAGCCCAAGGACTATAGTTTTCACTTAGCATACTGCGCTATACTATACATATGTTACATATGTTTTCTCTTCATTATATGTGTGTTCTTTCTTTCTTATCAGTTAGGAGTACTCTTAGTTACTTTTACCTCAGAAACCGTCCTGCAAGCTGCCATGTTGCGAGTAGTCAGAGCCATTCGGAGCAAATAGAGTGACTCGGACGTTTTCAAAGAAGATGCAACATTGGCCGTATCTGTGAAGTCCTGCTTTAGACCAAAGGAGCTCAACCCTTCCTGCGAAATGAGCGACGCCCCACTTGGAGTAACAACGGTTGAGATGTAGTAGGTGCAGGACCTGCAGCAGCTGGAGACTTGGAGCTTTGCGCATCTGGCTTTTTTGCAGAATCAATCACATCTTTGATATTGAAGGAACCGTTCTTGATCAAGGATTGCACAGCAGCAGCATATGTTCCAGCCACAATTCCAACATCAGCCCCGGAAGTTGCGCAAATCAGGTCAGCCTCATTAAAAAGATTCCTTGCACTTCGCAAACTTGTCCGCAAGATCAAGCTTGGCAAACTCCTCCCTGCCATTCAGAATCTTGATCAGATGTTGCATCATGTATTCAGCCCTCAATCTGGTCATCTTCAATACGGAGCCGATGTCAAGGAGCTTTTCTAGCTTCGTTGCTTGCGAATGCTGGCTCACTTCCTTTGGTAGGCCGCCTTTGCTTTGAGTCATGAACTCGCGCAATCGATGCGCCAATACGACTACAAGCACATTCGGCTTCCCACTGTAGATCACCGATGGCAGCTCATGTGACACGATGAACGTCAGCTGGAACACAAGGTCCGCTACATCAGTGTCGCGCGACTGGCGCACTGGGCTAGTTGCCATGTTCAGCCTGAACGCTGAACACTGAACACGTTGAGCTTTCAGTCAATCAAATCACCGTAAACAAAATGATTGAAAACCTAACGTCCAAACTAGATCTGAACTTGACAGAGCATACATTTAAGACTGCAAGACTCCAAGACTGCAAGACTGTATGTATGAACCGAACCAAAAACGGAAATGACAATACGTTCATCCATCATATTGAAACATCAGTCCTGCGTTCCCCACGGCTGCGCTGGTCCTCCCAAATCTCTGTGATTTTGTTGAAGGCCAAACGTCTTGCAGCAGCGTCAGCCAAGCTACAACTCATACCATCCGGTGTGGTTGGAGAAATTGGCTTTGCACATTTCATGGCACTTCCCTCCACTTCAACCCACTTCAAGAAGCAGTCAATGCATGTTTCCCAGGTTGCTTTCTCGTCAACATCCACGCTTCCCGCTGAACCTCCAACAGCAGGCATTGAAAACAAGGCGTCAGTGATAGTGTTTGCCAGCTGAGTATCTGTAGCAGATCCCGAACCTGAAGAAGTTCTCAAGCAGCTGCCATCCGCCAGAGCCTGACCAATCCAAACAAAGCAAGCTTCATTACGCAAACGATAGTGTGAGCAACAGTGTTCAGTATACAGTCTGCAGCGCTTTCCTCCCAAGAAAAAAGACTTTACAACTAAAGAATATGGGATCAGACTGAGCAGACTTTGCTTAATGGAATCTGAGTCTCAAAACAACTGCCCAACTTCCCAACTAAACAACACAAGGCTGAACATTGTAGCAACTCTTGCCTTCTGGTATTCCCCAATGAAGCTGGCTTGCAAAGCAGGTCACACGCTTGACCAACGTTTGTGGACTTTCTTCCCCACCATTTGTTTGCCCTGCAAAGCAAATGGGAGCCCAAGTCGCACATGGTACTTGAGCAAGGGAATCTCCATCTCCATATATGTCATGATGGATTCAGCATCACAAACCAAAGATGCAGCATCAACATGGTGTGGGACGCCAAGCCTCTTGCGAGCTGACAAGGTCGCAGAACGAAAGGCGAGGATAAGGCGGTCTGCAAAAGTCTTGTTGCGGGCCAGCGCTAAACCGTTGGTGTGGATGGTAAGCTCTTCTGCCTCCTTTGTCGTATCCTCTGCAATCCAGAAGGCTTAGGCTTGGTACTGCCTTTCTCTGATTTTCCCTTGCCCTTTCCTTTGCCCTTGGGCTTTGTTTTCCTTGATCTTTTTCTTCTGTTCCTTCTGCACGTTCTTTTTCTTTTGCATCTCGAACACTTTCCCATCCAATGGAGCAAGGGGAACTCCAATTTCTGCAGACGCTGAACTGGATTTCTTGAGAAGCCAAGGAATCTCTGGCATGTTCACTGGAACCTTAGCTAATTTTGTCTTGTTCTTGTCGTTCATTTTGTTTGTTATGTCTGCAGCTTTGAAAGTTGAGTTGTAGCGTTGTAGTAGTTGGATTCTGGG